AACCTCCATTTTTTCTCGAAAACATTCAACTTCCAAAATAATTCCAGAAAGTCCCATTCCACACATTCATTTTCTTTTTCATAATCTATCATGCAAACAACCCCCTGCTTTTCTTCTTCCTCGCTTCTTCAACAACCTCATTGGCTGCATATACTGCACCTATATTTTCCGTCTGATGCACGAGCATCTACAAGCCTCATAGACTGAGTGGGCCCCCTTAGCCAACTTAGCTTGGGTCTTAGCTAGCCCCATAGCCAACAACCTCATTCTTAACTTATCAAATAAAAGACTGACCAAGGATTTCCGCTGTAGAAGTGCTTCAAGTGATTGCCCCATCTGCATAAGTTCAAAATATCATAAAGATCTCAGATTATTATTTAACATAAAATGTTGTAGGAGTCTTCATTGTCTACACTCCAAAAAGGCAATATAGGCAAATTGCAGCTCCGCAAGAAGCAAGTCCTCAGAACTTCCATAGTCTTCTAGTAGAACACTTTCTAATAATTTTGTCTGTACAGATCAGTGAAAGTCCGACCACAAAAAAGATGAAAAAAAAATATTAGTGAAAGGATAAAGTCAAATCAGCTAATTTTAAGCATTAAAAAAGAACTCAACAATACAACTTAAAAGAGGAGGGAGGTGCTTCTTACCTTGTCAAGATTCAAAGAAGTAAATTGTTGGCCACGGATTCTTTTCCATTTGATAACGCGGAGAATTGATGTGTAGTAAAATCCTCTCGTCTGAGACTTGTCACTGGGTGTTGAGAACCTACCAGCATTCAACTACTCACCTAGAGCTTTCTCCATCGTTGTGTTAGGAGTGTTTACACACATTGTAGATTCAGATGCAACAGTAATTTCTCCTCCAATGAGTTCTGTACAAGTCATTTAAAATTCAAAGGTTGTTTAGGACAACAAGAACGAATCTTATACAAATCCTTTGGACAAAATTCATCTGAAGCAGTCCTGAACAACATAAACAAAAGTATCCGACAAATATCAAAATGTAGAGTTCCAAGTAGCCACTATAAATATAACTTCTCCTGTAAGAAGTTTCCTATTTAGAGTTCGACGCAATCTTATTCTTAGAAGTTTTTATGACAAAACAAAAAACAAAATCCGTACTATATTGTGTTGGTATGTACTAGGCTAGAAGTATCAGATATTTGCCTCAACTTCTTCTATGAAGTTTAAGATTTATGCAACTTCTTCTATTGAGGTTGCAAAATTCAATCTATAGCATCAAACATTCAGTGGGAATCACGTAGATCCATATTATGGAAAATGCGACTCCTTGAGTAAGACAATGATACAACCAACATGAATACAAACCTCTTCTTCTGTTACTTTGGCTAATCTTTCCTCTTGTCGATCCCACGTACGAACACTTACCTGTTACATGAGAAAGGTCAGTCTGGCTAATCTATTCTCTGCTAAGAAGAGCTTACCTGGTGGATGAGCTATAGTACACAAAATGAGGACCAGGACAAATCATCTTTATGCCTTTAAAGGCAGGGCCAACTGAAAACATCTGAAGATACAGTTAACGAAGTGTTTAAGTGTTAACTGATTGACAGAAAACCATATTGCTTTCATTTCCATTTTCTCTTAAATTTTCTCAGCAACAAAACAGAGCAAAGCATGTGTGTCTGGGTTGATGGTAGTTTACCTGAGTATCAATGCCGCTCAACATTTGCAGTTCCTGTGGTTGTGATACTGGATGACCCAAGTTCTAGTGTGACGCCATCATTTTAACACTTATTTCTCTCATCCCCTACCATTCAACAACTACAGTGAAAACCAGAGAATGGTTTCAGTTCTCTTCATTCCTTTTCACGTGTTACATAAATAGCTATTAAAGTAATAGCTGTACAATGGAATAGTTTACAAAAAAGAAATAATATTACAGCAGTCTTCATGATGATGTCTTCTCCTTTTATCTGGCAGCATCTTCTTTAACATATGGCATCTTCTTTATCTGACAGCATGTTGATTCCATCATGTTGTTTTCTTCATGGCAGACTAACCACGTGTCAACACTCCCCCTCAAGTTGGTGCATAGATGTTTCGAATGCCCAACTTGTCGAGGCATGAATGAAAACTTCTACTTGATACAGCTTTTGTCAAGATGTCGGCCAATTGATCTTCAGTTTTAACAAATGGAAAGTCAACAATTCCAGCATCCAGCTTCTCCTTAATAAAGTGTCTATCCACTTCAACGTGTTTAGTACGATCGTGTTGAACTGGATTGTGGGCAATGCTAATGGCAGCTTTGTTATCACAATATAAATTCATAGCCTTCTTGGATTTGCAACCCAAGTCTCTCAACAATTTTCGCAACCACATGAGTTCACACACACCATGAGACATGCCTCTGTATTCGGCTTCAGCGCTTGACCTAGATACCACCTTTTGTTTCTTGCTACGCCATGTAACCAAATTCCCCCCAACAAAGGTGAAGTATCCAGATGTGGATCTTCTATCAACAATGGACCCGGCATAATCAGCATCTGTATAGGCTTGAACATCTAGATGACCATGTTTAGTAAACATCAATCCTTTTCCTGGTGCTGACTTCAAGTATCTAAGTATTCGAAGAACAGCTTCCATATGACTCTCACTAGGGGCATGCATGAATTGACTAACCACACTAACAGCATAGGCTATATCAGGTCGTGTATGTGACAAGTAGATTAGTTTTCCAACCAACTTCTGATACCTTTCCTTATTTGTTGGAATCTGATCAAGGCTTTCTCCCAACTTATGATTTTGCTCCATTGGAGTGGCTGCTGGTTTGCAAGCAAGCATACCAGTCTCACTTAACAAATCTAGGATATACTTTCTTTGAGACAAAGAGATGCCATGCTTAGATCTTGCCACCTCAATTCCAAGAAAGTATTTTAGTACCCCAAGATTTTTCATCTCAAATTCTTGAGCCAAGTATTTCTGAAGTTCTGTGATTCCTTCTTCATCATTACCTGTAACAACCATATCATCCACATAAATAATCAAGGCTGTCACTTGTCCTTTCCTGTGTTTCAGAAACAGCGTATGATCAGAATTGCTCTGTTTGTACCCAAATCTTTTCATAGACAAACTGAATCTCCCAAACCAAGCCCTGGGTGACTGTTTCAGTCCATATAAAGATTTCCTCAGCTTGCACACCTTGCCAACATCTGTTTCCATAACAAACCCAGGTGGAAGATTCATATACACCTCATCTTTTAAATCACCATGTAGGAAAGCATTTTTCACATCAAATTGATGTAGCGGCCAGTCTAGGTTGGCAGCCAGAGATAAAAGGACTCGAATAGTGTTGATTTTAGCTACTGGCGCAAAAGTCTCTGAGTAATCAACACCATAAGTTTGAGTGTAGCCTTTTGCTACCAATCTTGCCTTGTATCTCTCTACTGATCCATCTGCTTTGTGTTTTACAGTAAACACCCATTTACAACCAACAGGTCTCTTACCTTTAGGCAAGTCAACAAGTTCCCAGGTAAAAATTTTCTGTAGTGCCTCCATCTCCTCAACCATAGAAATCTTCCACTTTGGGTCACCAAAAGCATCCTGTAAGTTACTAGGTGTAGACACAGAAGATATGTGGTTTGTAAAAGCAATATAAGAACTGGATAAACGATGGTTAGACACATAATCAGATATTGGATATTGAACAGTTTTTACTGTAGAGTAGCCAAACCTTTCTGGAGGTATCCCACGATTTTTACGAATTGGAAAACGAGGAGAATTAGAGACATCTATAGACTCATTTGAGTCATCTAGATTATCCCTAGCTGAAATATCATGGTTATCAACATTATCAGTATGTATGGAAGGTGGCGGGGATTGTGGAATTACCTCAGAATGATCTTCATGCAAAGCAGCAGGTTGATTTGGAACATGGTCAGGAAGTGGAAGATCTGTTACTACTTCATTTCTCTTCCTTCTTTGGTACACTTGCAACTCTTTTTCATGTGTATCATGTGTATCAGCAGTATTAGGTGATGGTACATATCCAATATCAGGGAACTGCTCTTCCTCTCCATCATTCTCCCCCTGAAGAGGAGTGACCGAAAAATAGGCCTCTTCTTCACAGAATGTAACATCCATAGAAATAAAAAAATTTCCTGATGGGGGATAGTAACACTTGTACCCCTTTTGTGAGACAGAATAACTGACAAACACACATTTGAGGGCACGAGGATCTAGTTTGTCACGACTGTGTTGGTGAACATGAACATAGCTAACACATCCAAACACTTTAGGTTGAATATGAAGAACTGAAGGAATAGAATGATACTGAGAAAGGGTCTGAATAGGTGTTTGGTACTGGAGAACCCGAGATGGTACACGATTTATAAGGTACACGGCTGTGCAAATGGCATCGCCCCAAAAACGTTTTGGAACATGCATAGCAAAGCATAAAGAACGAGCCACTTCTAAAAGATGACGATTTTTACGTTCTGCTATACCGTTCTGTTGAGGAGTATATGGACTGGAAGTTTGGTGTATGATGCCATTTTGCTCAAAAAAGGTTCTAAGTTCAGAATTCAAATACTCACCCCCATTGTCAGATCGGACTACTTGCACTGGTACATGAAACTGTGTTTGAATCATGTGATGAAATATAGGAAAAATGGATGAGACATCACTTTTATTTTTCAACAGATAAACCCAAGAGACACGAGTACAATCATCAATGAAGGAGACAAAGTACTTAGCACCAGTGTAAGTAGGAACATGAAATGGACCCCACACATCGGAGTGAATAAGAGAGAATGGAATATGACTTTTATTGGAGCTTACAGGGAATGAAACACGATGACTTTTTGCAAAAATACAAGTTTCGCAATGGAAGTCAGACACATGAACTTTAGCAAATAAAGAAGGAAATAGAAGTTGTAAATATTGAAAGGATGGGTGACCCAATCTTTTGTGCCACAACCAAATTTCGGCGTTAGCCTGTTCTGTACTAACTTGATAACCACTTCTTACTTAAGGATCAGGCAGTTTTGAGTCCAAGTAGTACAATCCTCCGCTTTCCTTACCATGACCAATCTGCTCCTTTGTCTGAAGATCCTGAAATAAACAAGAGGTAGGAGAAAAAATAGCCAAACAATTGAGATTTTTAGTAATTTGACTAATAGAAAGCAAATTATGGGAGAGAGTAGGGACATGTAAAACAGAGGACAGCGACAATGATGGAGTTAGGGAAACAGATCCTGCTCCTAAAACTGGAGTGGAAAAACCGTTAGCAACCTTAACAGTTTTTGTATGTGGATGACTGGGGGAAACAAACCAAGCAGTATTATTAGTCATATGATCGGAAGCTCCTGAATCAATGATCCAGAGTTTATCGCTAGCATTAAAGGGTGTGCTCACTGCTAAACCATAGTGACTTGTACCTGGATATGGTGAGGAAGTGGAAGTAGTGTTGGGGAAAACTCTGAGAGCAGACTGATCCATATGTGGTGAAGAACCATGAGGTAAAGGTTGTGAAGCCAAATTTGCAACACTTTTTTTCTTCTCTTTTCCCTTTTCTTGTTTGTCCACCCACCAATCTGGATATCCAACCAATTCGAAACAAGTTTCCCGAGTGTGTTTTTTCTTCCCACAGTGGGTACATTGGCGTGTGTCAAGCTCCTTTTGTCCCGGCTTTGGATGACCACTTCTAGGTACAGGGCGATGTAAAGTGGTTGTCATAGCTGACCCGTCAACATGTGAGCCAGCTAACATGGTTGCTTGCCTATTAGCTTCAGAGCACACCTGTGCATATGCGGCTTGCACACTCGGGAGAGGATCTTCGGCTAGAACTTGACCTCGAATTCTATCCAAATGATGGTCAAGTCCAGCCAAGAAGTCATATAATCGTTCGTTCGAAATTTCCGTTGTGCGGGCAGCAACATCATCTGAACACTTCATTTTGCTTGGTCGCAAGACATCGATTTCTTGCCAAATTAACTGTAATGTACCATAATAATCAGATAAAGACGTACCATTCTGACGAGTTGCGAGTGCCTTACACCGAAGCTCATATAATTTTGATGCGTCTTTACCAATAGAATAGGTCTGAGTAACAGCATCCCACACTTCTTTCGCAGTAGAAAGGCTAAGAAAAATAGCCCTTAAATTTCTGGTCATGGAATTGAGAAGCCAGCACTGAACCATGGCATTTTCTTCTTCCCAGGTGGAATACAAAACATCTGCTTCTGTTGGTGTCGCCTTTGTGCCAGTGATATATCCCCATTTTCCTCTTCCAAGAATATAAAGTTTGACACTACGGGACCAAGAAGAGTAATTGGAACCATCCAATTTATCCGGCGTGATCTGCAATGTCATGTCATTTTGGGTGACAGAACTGGAAGTCGATCCAGAGCTGGCCTTTTTTTCAGAATCACCCATGGGCTTCTTTTTTCTATTTTTCAGACTTCGTCAAGATAGTGAGGTGGCGATGAGTCTGAGAGTTCTGGGGAACAAATATCGATTTGAAGGGTAGAGCTGCTGAAACTGTCAGCAGTTTAGAGAAAGAAAAAAAAATTCACAGAGATCTTGAAGCTCTGATACCATGTGAAAACCAGAGAATGGTTTCAGTTCTCTTCATTCCTTTTCACATGTTACATAAATAGCTATTAAAGTAATAGCTGTACAATGGAATAGTTTACAAGAAAGAAATAATATTACAGCAGTCTTCATGATGATGTCTTCTCCTTTTATCTGACAGCATCTTCTTTAACATATGGCATCTTCTTTATCTGACAGCATGTTGATTCCATCATGTTGTTTTCTTCATGGCAGACTAACCACGTGTCAACACAGTATACTCCTATGGTTTAGATGTTGGATGACCCGAGGATGTAAATTGACGAAGATGGATGCTATACAAAATACAGCACTGCTGTAAATTTTCCTTGCTAATTTTAGACAGATGGGACAATTCCCTTGAAATGTTTGGTAAAAGGTCTAATTATTTGATAAACACATAATTATTACAATTTCTATCTCTAATCTATATTTGTTAGTACTTTATTTCAATGAATTTTGAACCAATTAGAATGTTACATTGCATTTTACAAATCCAATTGCACTTCATTGAAATAAAGGTTAATTCAATTGAATTATCTAATTGGTAGCTCTTTCTTGTGCAGCAGCCCAAGGAGAGAAAATAAATGAAGCCCCAACTCCAGTCTATTTTTGGCAGTCAACTTTCAAGGCCCAAAACATACATTTGTACTGCTCATATGGGAATACATTCTTCATAAAAGTTGTTCCAATGGGTGTCTATTATAACATATCCAAATTTGAGCCTCATTGGATACATATTGAAACCTCAGGCCTTCCTACACTAAGCCTAGTTCAAAAAAATCGTTTTTTTTCCAGCAACCAAAGGAAACCCACATGGGTTGGCAGCAAAAGGCAGCCACAATTGAACACCTTTGAAAACCCATGTGAAGAAAGCTTGAGGTGCAGCAGCTAAAGAAGAGAAACCCACATGGGTTGGCAAAGAGATGATGAAAGCCAACATCTCGGAGGTTTGCACATGCCAAAGGCAAGCAAAGGCTGCCATAACATGTGGATGAATAACATGATTTACAGCAGCAAAAGAAGGATGGGCAGCCACCATGTTGCAGCAGCCAGCACATGAAGATGATGAATGTAATGATGCTTTAGTTGCTCTCATTTCCCTATAAATAGAAGCTTAGAAACCAAGAGAGGTGTGCAGAGAATTAGTGCAAATTTTTGTAGAGTTTTTAAGCAGAAAATATGTAATTCTTGGGCACCAAAGGGAGAGGAAAAATGGCAATATAATTGGAGAGAACTTTGGGGAGCCATGAGGCAAGGAACTAAGGGGTTGATGATGGAATTTTTCCTTCTCCTCTTTGTTTTAGTTTTTTTTCATGTTGTTTTTATTTTCACTTATGTCTAGTTAAAATTATGTTAAGGAGGAAATACCATTATGAAATGAAGTTATAGTTTTTATCTTTAAATTCCCAACTATTATATTTTTCAATGTTTATAACTTCACCTTCACATGATTAATAGGTTAATTTTCTTTTCACCACTTCTATCATGTATTTATGGTAGTTAGGAATACAAGTTAATCTATTAATGCATCCTTGGTTTTGTATTAATCCTATCGAGTTGACCATTATAAAAGGTGTCAATTGCTTCTTCAAATTCCCTAACATGCACGTAAGGATTTTCACTTTCCATACCATGAAAAATAGGTAGCAGTTGAATCATTCCAGGTTTGAAATCATAATTTGGCATGTTAGGTGGAAACATGATGCATGAAGGATTTGGTGCACGAATAGGATGCAATAATGTCTCTAAAGTTCTAGGGGCAACTACTTCTTCTCTTATTTCATTATTCACAATCTGAGCATTAACCACTTGTTCATTATTCACAATTTCTGCCATGGTTTCAGATTTGTTAGATGTTTCAGTTGAAGAAGTTGAAGCAGAATTAACAGTTTCAGACTTTTTGACAAATCTTCCTAGATGATCTATAGCTAGGTCGCATAAAGAAAATAAATAAATAAACAAGAACAAAAAAATGATAAGTTTGGAAAGAGTGTACCAGATGTGAAGAATTTCACATAGAGAGAAGTGTATAGATCATCTAGGAAGATTTGTCAAAAAGTCTGAAACTGTTAATTCTGCTTCAACTTCTTCAACTGAAACATCTAATAAATCTGAAACCCTGACGGAAATTGTGAATAATGAACAAGAAATTGTGAATAATGAACAAGTGGTTAATGCTCAGATTGTGAATAATGAAATAAGAGAAGAAGTAGTTGCCCCTAGAACTTTAGAGACATTATTGCATCCTATTCGTGCACCAAATCCTTCATGCATCATGTTTCCACCTAACATGCCAAATTATGATTTCAAACCTGGAATGATTTAACTGCTACCTATTTTTCATGGTGTGGAAAGTGAAAATCCGTACGTGCATGTTAGGAAATTTGAAGAAGCAATTGGCACCTTTTATAATGGTCAACTCGATAGGATTAATTTCATAAGGTAAAAAAAATTTCCATTTTTTTTAAAAGAAAAGGGGAAAAGTTGGCTATATTCATTAAGGGCTAGGTCCATAGGTTCTTGGGCGGAAATGACTCAAGCTTTGTTGAGGGACTTCTCCGTAGTGATCGCCAATTTGTTGAGTCTATGTGTAATGGAAATTTTATGCAAAAAGACCATGATGATGCCCTAGAATTTTTGGATGAAATTGCTGAAAAAGCTCATCAATGGACTGTCCCAAGTCCAGTTGAGACCACTGATCGGTCAAGAATTGCCACATCTTCTACTAATAAAGGAATTTATCAATTAAAAGAAGAAGATGATTGGAAATTAAAATTTGAGGTTTTGACTAAAGAGATAGCTGCTTTGAAAATGGAAAAATCAAATTTACCTCAACCTGTTTATCAAGCTGATGTTAATCAAGTATGTGATTCTTGTTATGAGATTGGTCATACTGTTAAAAATTGCCCAATTTTTCAGGAAATGAAAGGAGCTTATGAGGAGCGTTGTGCTATTGTTGGATACTTCAAACAACCGTATTCTCCTTTTTCCAACACTTATAATCCGGCAACAAGGAATCATCCAAACTTTCGTTGGAGCAATGAGTCACAACCTCAGGTAAGTGACATGAATTCTTCCAATAATCAGTTTCAGGCACCATACATTCAATGCTAGGGCATCTTTGAGCGATACTCTTCACACATTTATGCATGAACAACAAAAGCAAAATCAAAGGTATGATACTTTGCTTAGTCAATTGGTTGAAGAAAATAAAGAAATTAAGAGTCAAATTTCCAAGTTGACTAACCTTTTGGCTGTTAATTTCTCTCATCCCCTACCATTCAACCACTACAGTTTACTCCTACGGTTTAGATGTTGGATGACCCGAGGATGTAAATTGACGACGATGGATGCTATACAAAATACAGCACTGCTGTAAATTTTCCTTGCTAATTTTAGACAGATGGGACAATTCCCTTGAAATGCTTGGTTAAAGGTCTAAGTATTCATATAAGTTTTTTGAGTTCTGAGACTGCATGAGATAACTTTATTTGATGCATAAAAGATTCAGTTTCTGAATATGCTAATCTTCTATAAACCTAATGGATCTCAAATGCAATGAATTACAAAAAAGGAACCAAAAGAAATATGTAAAAGAAAGTGGCATTAGCTCTGTATTAATAATGAATGAAATCAAAGAATGTACATGAAATTACACAAAATTACAAATTTAGGATAATGAAGTATTACACCAATTTGTGAGAGATACTTTCGAAAAAGCAAATACAAAACTTAAGGATCAAGCTAAGCAGGACCAATTATAGGGAAAGCAGGTGGCTTTTGGCAAACAGTGGTTTGTTTTGGAATGACAGGTCTTGGAACCCAAAGGAAGAATCTGCTGCTTAGAAGACGATGACGACACTGAAGAGAGTTCCTTTACTGGATCCAGATTAGTCACAAATGGATGATTCAATAGCTTAGCAGCTGTGAACCTCTCAGAAGGGCTCCACACAAAGCACTTTCCTAAGAAATCTTTAGCCTCATCTGATAACCAAACAGGAATGGTGGGAGATTTGGAAGCAATCTGAAGCATGAGGTCCCAAGGTCTCGCCCCAGCTTTCAAATCCCATGGCTGCTTCCCAGTCAACATGTTGAGCACCACACACCCTAGAGCCCAAATATCAGAAGGTTGCTGCTGAATATCTTGAATGACAGTTTCTGGAGACCAATACATTGTAGTGCCTCCAGCACGCTCCTCTATAACCCTCTTTGTCAGACCCAAGTCCCCAATTTTAGGCACAAATTCAGAACCACTAGAATCAGTTTTGGTGACAAGTAAAATATTCTCAGGCTTCAAATCGCAATGCACATAACCCATTTCATGAATGTGCTTAACCCCTTGCAAAATCGCCTCTGTGTACTTCCTTACTTGAAATTCAGGCAACCCAGAACCCCCAGACTTGTTAATCAAATCCCTCATTGTTCCTCCATCAGCATACTCCATGAACATATTGAATACCTTATTACCATCAACACCAGCAGTCACATCATCTCCATAGCGGTGAATGATAAATGGGCAGCTACTAAACGTGCCAAGAATTGAATTTTCCGTCACCAGCTCAAGCGCATCACAATATAATGTTGACTTCACTGCGAAAATTGAGGGCAAGGAATCGGCGCACATATTGGGTTTTTTCACCCAACCCAAATACACCGACCCAAATCCCCCTTTGCCGAGCATCCGGCCTCGAACCCACTCGCGCCCAGCAACCGACAAGCTCTGTTCTTTCTTTGGCCTTGAACTCTGACCCATTGTTTGAAAAACAAAAAGCTTTCTGATGAAATAGGGTTTCTGGGTCTATCAAAACGAAAGCAAAGAGACGCAGAAAAACAGAAACTGGGTAGCAAGAGAGAAAGAGAAGGATATGAAAAAGAGGGTTTCGATTTTCAAACCCTAAGTGTTTTTCTCTGCGTATTCTTGACGCTGTGTTTGAAGCTCGTGAGTGAATGAGGGTTTGGAAATCAGAGTTTCCTTTTGCTGGTTGGATCGGGTTTATATAGATGTAGTTCAACGCGTAAACTTCAAACGGTCGTATTTTTCTTTCGCGGCTTTTCGTTTCGCTTCAATTAATAATCCAGTAAAAATAAAATTTACAAAGAACTTGAAATATACTTCGTAAATCTTAAGCGACTCTTGTTATTACAAGCTGAGAACACATAGTGACCGTTATTTAGGGAGATTTATGGCCTTAATTTGATTTTTTAACTAAATTAAATATGAAACTAAATATTCCAACAACAAAAAAACTAAATTAAATATAAAATTTTATCTTAGAATTAATTAATTATTTTATGTACTTTTATAATTCTTTTTGTATTTTAGGGGTCAGTTTGATATTTAATTAACTTAACTTAAAACATAGAAATTGAAAAATGGAAAAAATATATATATAGAATTGGAAATACCAACAAATTAAGTTAAACTATTAAAAAATAGTTTTTTTTTAATTTCACCACTCCAATTTTATCAACTTATACTCCTTTTTTTAGTTATAAAATAGAGTGTAAGTGGATAAAATTGGAGTGGGGAAATCATCACTCTATTAAAAAAGAATTTTTTTTAATGTAGATATTAAAAAAGAGTTTAGAGAGTTAATTAATCATTTTATTTATTTTTCAAAATTCTTTTTTTATGTTAGGACTGAATTTGATATTTAATTAACTTAAAAAAATCGAAAGCAAACACAGCTCCATTTCCCTTCTCCCCTCCTCCGTTCCCAAATCCCTGAATCTCTCTTTGCCTTCAATGTGTTTATTGACCGAAAAACCCCCAACAAGCTGAGAAGATAATGGCTCGGAGGCTCTGTTCCCGCCGTTCCCTCCTTTCTTCTATTTTCCAAGTCGCAAACCTCCGACTGCAGCTTTCACTTCCTCCAAGGTCATAGTCTCTCTTTTTTTTTTAATAAACTGTTGGTACCAAAAATTCGCCTATCAGATTCTGGAAAACCCATTTGTCTCTTTTCTCTTTCAGATTCGAAGCTCTGTATGATTCTGCTCTGAGCACTTCAACAAGTCAAATTTGCTGTGGGTTTTGCCCAAAATTTCAAGGTTTGCTTCCATTTCTTGAATTTCATAGTTAATGATGTGTATTTGTGCATGTCTCTATGATTTGTATATGTTCATAATCAAGTTATCACATTTTTGTTCCCTCGTAAAAATTGTGGTTAGCGTGATGTTAGAATTGTGATATGTGGTCTACGTATTTGATAAAAGTTCTCATAGAAGACATCAATTCTTTGCTTGAAACTGTGCCATTACCATTTCAACTTCTTAGAATGAAGTTATGTGTCAAAGAAAAAAAGGGTTACGGGATTTATGTTTGATAGAGGCTTTCTTGTCTTTGTACTTTGGACTGGTGTCATTGACATGTCTGTCATTATGGACAACCTTTAGCCTGAGGATTCATTCCGTGGTCAAAATTATAACGCAACAAGATTACTATCCAATTCATTTAAAGAGAACGGATTCTTGAACTTTGGATTTTTTGGCTTGGTTGATTTAAATTTTAAACTATTACGGTTACATTGAAGCCAACTTTGTTCTGTCTCAGTAAAATTAGATGCATGACCATGCATTATCTATATATTTTATTCCTATTATATTAATAGGTTTTCTTGCTAGTTCATTCTTGCAGACAAAATATAGCTTTACTTTCACAAAATAATAAAAGATAAAGATAAAGCTTTGCAACACGTACGTTTTCCCTCTGAGTTTTATGCTTCTGCTACCTGTATGACTTTATTGAATATGTTGCAGCTTCAAGATCATATGCCCGTGGTGGGCATAAACCTTATGATCTCTTTGGAAATGGACAACCTGGTGATAAGGACTTTAGGAAAGCCTGGAAGAAAGAGATTGATGAAGATGCTTCTTTATGGACTGGAAGTGAGGAAGAAAGTGACAATGAAAAGGATGAAAAGAGTCATCTGGAAAAAGAGATTCGAAAAGTAAGACAGCAGGCAAGGGAGCACTCTAACCTGATTGATGCTGATGACAGTGATGAGCTGAGAAGTGTTTGGTCTGGAAGTGATGAGGAGAAGTCTCTGTGGACTGGTAGTGAAGGTGATGATGACGACGATATTCCTACTGAACCCTACCCAAATGAAAGCAGTGATAAACATATAGATAAACTATTTGAGTTTGAGGAAACATCAAAGTATCGGCCAATCTCAGAATTATTGAAAGCTGAGCAGGAACCGGAAGAATTGTCGCCCGGAAAGCAAGCTAGGAAAATTGCAGTTGAGAATGCCTTGAAAAAGTTGAAGAAAGGGCCAGATGGTCGATACATTAATGTATGGGAGGTCATGAGTGACTTAGATATTCTAATAGGAGCATTTGAAAATATAGTTTCAGGACCAGAATATGCAGAGCTTAGACAGGGAGGGCCTAAGAAATTAAATATTCAGTTTTTCAAGGATATACAAGCACGTATGAGAGATCCAAATTATAAGTTCTCACCTGAGTTAAAGTTGAAACCAAAGAGCAAACTAGTTCGTAGAAAGAAATGGCAGAAGACACAATCTAGGCGGAGGAAAGCACAAAAGCGCTAGGTTTCTCTTTCCTCTTTATTGTTTCAATCTGTCAAACTTAGAAAGTGTAACATGTGTATCGTTCAAACTTTGGAAATTTTGATATATGTTTCTGAATTCTATATACGATTTCTTTGTTGGCCTATCTATCATCCAGTTATACTAGTGGTCGGGTTCCACACATGTTTGTTGTGTCAATTACGTTATTTTGCTTTGGAAGTTGCTAGAGTGACTTCAAAAGAATTACCCAAAACATAGACTCATCAGGAAACCAACCCATTTCTCCAAAATTTAGAAAAGTCACTCATTTTGGGCTTAAAAAGACCAAGACACCCTTATTTTATGCAGCACTCGAGCCTTTTTCATCTTTGTCTGCTCAAGAATGCCATATTCACATTGGCTTCTGAATATGTTCTAAAGCAACCCTTTTATTGGCAAACTGTACGCCGATTGTGGTCTCGCATTTCATGTCATGATCCTCCACACGCCTATCCAGGCGAGAGCCAGCTGTGGGCAATCTGTAAGCCTAACAATGTGCAGTCCCCACTAGGGTACAATGCTTATTGTGGATCAGAGGTCAAGGAAACACCACGTTTGCTGACCTGTATGCATGATTTTCTTAATCAATGTTTCATCACCATGATCATCTTTACCACACACAACTATCTTGTAGTGTGCCCCTTTCAATATTTTGGTATAATGAAGTACCCTCAGCCAAGAAGCTTCATATATGGTAGATATCCATAAGTACGTTTCAATTTTTCTGTATAGCTTAGCTTGTCTTTCTTCACAATCACAGCTAGCCTCTTTGATTAACAACTGTGCTGCTTTTGATTTTTCAGGTATTTCCTTGAACATCCTGAGTATTTAACAGATGGGGTAATTCTGTCACAATTTTTCATTTCAAATCCTGAGGCTGTTGTAGGGAAATTATGTCCACAAGTTTCCTGCTTTGACAGCATACTGATGCCATTAGATCTCTTGAACCTGGTGAAGGTACACCGATGCAGGAAAATCATATACAATGTATACTGTTTTCAATATTTAATTGCTTCCTTCAGAATTGTGGCTTCTGGTTTCCATCAGATCATGTTCCCTGTAAGTCTAAAACCATGTATGTAGTTTTGTCCTAGAAAAAGTTGTTTGCAACAGGCTGGAAAAGGTATGTCTTTTGCAAAACCATTTGTTTCTGCTTTCAATTAAGTAAGTAATATGGTCTAAGTCACCTCCATAGAAAGGTTAGTCTGCTGAAGTGTTTGGAAATTTCCACTTATTACATGATGCTGCAACTATTGATGTCCTATTTGAGTTTGATGAGATACTGTATATATTGTGATTCCTTTATGTATTGACCTTGAGGGAAGCAGTGAATACTGTTCTTGTGCAGCTATTACTTTTTTACTCATTTGCCGTTTGCATCTTGGACACATTATATTAAGATAAGTTTAGAAAACATAAAATACTGGTTATACCTCCTGTTACTTTAGCCATGGTATCTCTCGCCTGCTTGCAGAAAACAAATTAACGCAAAGCTAAGGGTCTTGTCCTTATTCTGCAGAACTTAGCATGGCTTGGTCTAGATGGCTCTGAAGACTTGCAACTTGATAAAGCAGTGCTCCTTCCTCCTCCGTACTTGGAGGCAACTATGCTTGACCCTGTTGTTCGGCCTACAAACAACCCAGCAACAGCAAGAACTCCATTAAAAATTTGCAGTTGTAATCCAAAGATCAGCACAAAGTCAAGGTAGAAGGGCCTGGTCAATGTTGGAACAGTAGTCGTTACTTGTGGGGCTCTCTGTTCGTTTGCATTTTTTTCTTTCCTTTTCTTCGTTGTTAAGTGCGACTGTTATGGGGTCCTTCTGCAAGCTGCAACTCAAAGGCACAGACAAAGATTAGTCACACTCAAAGGAAAAATGACAATGAAGAAGCTTTGCTTGCCTTTTTTACTTTCTTTTTCTTTTTCTTTTTCTTCCAATTGAAGTCAAATCCTTCAATCTTTTCCTCCTTTCCCCATTTCCTGTGTTGGGGTTCTGTTGTCTTGCTAATCCAAGAAGATAGTCTCCATGGAAATGACATGCCAGATGCGTAAATTTAGTCATCTTCTTATAACTAGCGGATATGTAAGATTCAGTCAAATTTCAAAACTCTTTTTAAGAAATGAATGTAATTTGTTTTAACGGTAATATTTACTTGCAGTAATAATATGTGTGAGAGAAATATGTCTTGCTTGATCTACTCCGCCTTTTCTGACATATCAAGGCAACATATTACCCGAAGTAATAATATGTGTGGGAGAAATATGTCTTGCTTGCGCAGCTCCGCCTTTTGTGACATATCAAGGCAACATTAAATCATGAATTCACGAGGAATTCACAACACGTGTAAATGCCGATGGAACTTTTAGGTAGGAGTGGGCATCAATCCAACCAAACCAATAAAACTGGCTGAATCAAATTATAATTACCGGTTGGTTTGGTTTTAAAGAAGAAAAATTCAAATGATTTAAAAATCGAACCGAACCGTGTATAGTTTGGTTTGATTTGATTTTGAACTTTTGTAAATCGGCTTAAACTAAACCAGACCGTTTATGTGTATATTTATTATTTATATTATATTTTACATGTGTAATATTCTAATTAGGTAATAATTATATATGAATATTTGAATTGAGCTATATTCATAATTGAAATTTGAAGTTTTATGGCATGTTAAGCTTTAGGATGGTTTCATACTCTAGAAAATGATTCAAGTATGGAGCAGTTATGGATTTGTTGGTTGTAGTTGGGCTAATAATATGGAAAAAATGCAAAAAGAAAGAGAATTGGGTTTAGGCCCAAACCGGCCGAACCAAACCATCTTAAATTGGTTTGGTTTGGTTTGGTTTTCTTAATGACTTTTGTCAAAATTGAACCGAATCAAACTATTATATTGTAATTGGTTCAACCATGGTTTTAAGGATGAAACCTATCCAATTCAAACCATGCCCACCTCTACTTTTAAGTATGTGCAGGATGACTGCCCGAATTTTAATTTTTACTATTAACCACCTGAATTTTGTAAATTATTACAATTTATTATCTACGTAAAATATCTTTCATTTTTCATTTCTCCATTAAAACTTATCAAGTGCCCCTCACATGGATGGATGTTTTAGTCAATCTACATATTGGACCTCGTTGATGAAGGGAATGTTGACTTATTGCCCAACATTAAACCCCCTCACCTTTTGCATTGTGTTGTTTTATATTTGCCAACTCAAATTTAATTTGGATGAGCTGAAAGCTATTTGAAGTAGTTTCTTTGAGAAGCCAAGTGATAGGTGCGGCATTATTTATTTATGTTTTTAACTGAAGTGTTGCATTCAATAGACGGCGAAGAAACTGCTACAAGGCTACAGATCAAGAGGCCCCAGCCACAAAGGGAAACAACATGGTGCCCAAGGTTAAAAATCAACCAAATTTAACATGGGCCAAAAGCAAAACACTGTTAGTGCCAAAGATAAAACAGCTAAAGGAGTTACATGAGTAAGGACATAGGCAGAGTTTAACACACGTCCATTCCTTTCAACTGGAAATATGGAGCTAAATACTTGGAGGACAAGGGAGACCATCTTTGTTCAGAAGGTTGTGTGTTGGACACATTTTGGTGTAGCAATTGAAGGCCAAGCGAATGACATGTTGAAGAAACAAGAGGAGAGTTCTGCCTTTTTGGTGCACGTCCGCATGCAACCACATGGGCATCTGACGAGTATCCTCAGTGGCATTTTTGATCACTTGGAGAAAGCTCCATATGGGCGTGTTTCAAAGAATTATGAACCACTTGATAGTGTATCAAAGGTTGTACTTGAAGATGAGACTTATCTACCGGTGGAAGAACATAATTATGTGCACGAGGAAGCAAGAATTGAATCAAAAGGTGAAGAAAATGCAACGATTGTAATGTCACCAACACATGTGAAGAAAGATGTGCAGAGATATGAATTGGTGGGAGAAACGAAGATGCCATGGGAAATAAGAGAAGCAAATATAAAAGTTGGAATGTCACCAACACATGGGAAGGAAGTTGTGCAGGGTAAAGAAATGGAACAATACAACATTGTGAAGACCCCAGAATCATCATCGTCATCGAGGTTCATTTCTGATGAAAAGAGCCTGCAAGGATTTGAATTGGTGGGAGAAACGGAAATGCCAGGGAAAATAAGTGAAGCAAATGTAAAAGTTGGAATGTCACCAACACATGCGAAGGAACTCGTGCATAGTAAAGAAATGCAACAAGACAAATATGTCAAGACCCCAAAAGCATCAGCTGGAGCTGCATCTATTTGGGATAGAAAGAGCCTGCATGGATCTGAATTAGTGGGAGAACAGGAGAATCCATGGAAAACAAGTGAAGCACAAACAAATTTGCCTTCTCATAATGACAAAGGTAGGATGAAGCCTAAGAAATCAAGCGAGCCAACTATTAACCAGGCAGAAATTCATACTTGTTTTCAAAATGAAAAAGTTGAGGAGCTGCCTGAACCGGGAGTTAATGCCAAGAGTTCAATTGACTTGACTGTACATGAGGTCTTGAGATGCATGAATGATGTCACAGTTAGAAGAATTGGCATCTGCGGAATTGGTGGCAGTGGCAAGACTAGTGTGCTGAAAGCCTTGCTCAATCATCTTAAAGGAAAAAGCATGTATGATGTGATCATTTGGGTGACTATGTTGCGGTATTGAAGCATAAGAAAGATAAAAACTGAAGTTTTTAGACAGTTATCAATGTGCCCACCAGACTCTGAAACTGTTTCAAGTTTTAAAAAGCAGGAAGTTTTTGTTTCTTATGGATAATGTACGGGAGAGCGAGTTGATCTAGATGCACTGGGTATTCCTAATCCAAGTTATGGTTGCAGTATTATACTAACTACAAGAAAATTAGATGTTTGTGCCAGTGTTTTCAAAGGCATGCCTGAGCGCGCTTCGGAGCGCGCGTCGGAGCGAGGCGGCAGGAAAACGCCCGAGGCGGTCGGCTGTTTAGCGAGTTGCACGTTTAGCGCGGGGAAGGCGTAAGGAGGCGTTGCAAGGCGTAGCGAGGCGGAGCAAGGCGCGCTTGATCTGAACCGGAAGAAATTTTGAGAGTCTGCAATTTGGCTGCGGCTCTGCGAGGAAGATGACTTCGCGAGGAAGACGACTCCGTTTTTTTTTTAATTTTAGGTTTATTGTAACGAAACGACGTCGTTTCGATTGAAGTGTTTTATAAAAAAAACTTAAAGTGAAACGACGTAGTGTTCTGAAAAAATGCAAACACGCTAGTTTCTGTTTTTTTTTTTCCTTCCCTTTATTGTAAACATGCTATCCCTTATTGTATTAAACTTAAGGCAAGATTAATTCTTGCCTTTTCTATCTCCAGCCGTAGCTTTTCTACTTACCCCCTTTTTTTTCTTTCTTTTTTTTTCTCTTAAATTAATATATTAACACATGAAATTATATATATATTGTACAACCCTAATTCCTAACATTATCATATAATCTCCATTAATTTCAAGAATTCTCTTCATCTTTCTACGGCAAGTAAGTTATTTGTGCTGATATGACAGTGGATAGGGTGGTTGATATGAAACAAGTCTCTAAAGAAGAAGCTTGGAAATTGTTCCGTGAACAAGTGGGTGAACTTGTTGATTCTCCAGAGATACAACCCTATGCTCGAATTATTGTTGAGGAGTGTGGTGGTTTGCCGTTGTTGATCATTGTTACTGGAAGGGCCTTGGCAGGGGTGAATGAAGCTTCAGTGTGGGAGGATGCAACAAGGGAATTTGTATTGCCTAGCACACCTCAGATATATGATGTTGAAGCTGTTGTGCAACGTATGAAATTTAGTTATGGCAGATTGAAAGCTTATGACATAAAGAGTTGCTTCCTTTATTGTGCCTTGTTTTCAGAAGATCGAGAGGTTGATATATCTGAACTGGTAAAATGTTGTATCCAAGAAGGTTTAATTTCGGGAAATTGGTCTGAAGCATATCAGAGGGGGCATGATATAGTTAAGACCCTTGTAGGTGCCTCTCTATTGCAGAGTACTAACGGCGGTCTTGCGATCAAAATGCATGATGTGGTTAGAGATTTAGCATCAGCGATTATGTCAGGGGCAGAAGGCTTACAGTTTATGTTGAGACTCTATTCAAGATCGACAGAGTCATTAAATCTAGGAACCAATCCATCGTACAAGCCAATTGAAAGCCCTGAAAGCAACAGGTCAATTCCTGAAGGTTGTGGATTCTTGTTGGAAGGCGGTGTAGGTCTGAGGGAGCTACCTCCAAAACGGGAGCAATGGGAACGAGGAAAGATTATTGCTTTGATGGATAATGAGCGTCTACCTGAAAATCCAAGTTCACCTAATCTCCTAGTGTTGTTCCTTGAGAGAAACAGACGTTTAAGAGTGATACCTTCATCCTTTTTTGACTCCATGCCTTGTCTCAGCTTCTTGAACCTATCTAAGACCAGAATCAATTGCTTGCCTCAGTCAATCTCAAAGCTAAAACGACTTCAATTTCTTATTCTACGTGATTGTGATTGTTTAGTTGAACTGCCATCTGAAGTTGGATCCCTTGGAAAGCTTGAGGTGCTTGATCTCCGAGGTACTGAAATTAACAGCTTACCTAATGAGATTTGTAGATTGGCTTCTCTAAGGTACTTGGAAGTATGCTTTTATGGATCTATTAGTCCCAACGAGTATGCTTATCTACCACATGAATTGTTTTCAGTTGGCATAGTGTCAACACTCTTTTCTTTGGAAACGCTTAGTATTGGTGTCTACCCTGGAGATCAGAGGTGGAACAAGAGCATAAAAGCCATCACAATGGAGGTTTGTAGCTTGAAAATTTTGACTTCTCTCAATTTTTGTTTCCCAGAAGTAGAGCTTCTTGATCTCTTTCTTCGAACTTGCCCCAAATGGAATGATCAACTCTTAACTAAGTTTAAGTTTGTGGTTGGTTATGATGTCAAGCGCATCGTGTCACGGGTGCCAAGCTCTGTGGAGTTCGATTATAATCAACACGGTCGGTGCTTGAGATTCGTTAATGTTAAAATTGTACCTCATGTAGTTTGTGAAGTATTAGCTCGTACTACTGCTTTCTATTTAGATCATCACCTTAGCATGCTGAGTTTATTTGAATTTGGGGTGGGTAATATCAATGGATTGAAATTATGTATTGTGAGTGAATGTCCTAGAATTCAATCAATTATTGATGGAAATAAACTTGCTGAAACTGTATTTCCATCTCTGGAGTATTTGAGTATTCAGTACTTACGGGATTTGGAGAGGATTTGGAAGGGTAATATACCATATGGCAGTTTCAGTAAGTTAAGAATTTTGCTGGTGCATTCATGTCCAAAGTTGGAATTTGTTTTTACAAGCTCCATGCTTCCATTTGTATCTAATCTAGAAGAGTTGGTAGTTGAAGATTGTCCAGCCGTTGAAGTAATCGTACTCCACCAGGATGACATCATGGATTCTGAAATTGTTTTACTCTCTAGTTTGAAGAAGTTAACACTTCATCATCTTCCTAGATTGTTCAATATTTGGGAAGGTGCTTGGCCATCATTAGAATGTATTAGCTTTTATAAGTGCCGAAATCTGAAGAAGCTTGGTATGGACTCGAAGTTAAAGTACAGTTTGAAGGAGATTAAAGCAGAGAAGCATTGGTGGGATGCATTACAGTGGGATGGAAGTTCATTATTTTTGGATCTTGAAGCGCATTTCATCCCTGTTTGAGTGTTGATAAATGATTCAACTCTGGGCATGTTAATGGGGAAGGAGAAGTCAATCGCTAAAACAATCCTCCAATCTGGTTTTTTTTTGTTTGTTGGTAAAAAGTATAGAATTCTGTTTTGTACAACTGTCAACTGGAGAACGCGGATGCGGCAGGGCGGAGGGGGAATTTCTTGGATTGCTTTAGTGATGCAGCGAGATTAGCACTTTTATACATGGAATTAGTTACACATGGAATTTCTGCTTTAGAATTCATGCAAGAGGAGGTTTTGAAAATAAGGTAAAGTCGTCTCTAATATATAGTTTTTTCATGTTTGGGAATTAATGTAATTATCTATAGTAAATGTGTATTCAATACATGTCTTTTCATGTTGTCTATTTATAGTTGTTTCAAGTGGTAATGTAAGACAGCTTATGAATCAGTTATCGCATTAAAATTTGAGGAGAATTTTCTCTCTTTTCTATCAACTTCGTATTATGTTTAAATCAACAAGGCATAAAGCCCTTTACTCTTTGCTATACTCATTCTAGAGAATCACCAAAGCATGGAGGCTCTCTGTTCTTGGCGAGAATCAATAAGCATTTAGGGTTTAATGTGTTCGTTAAAATTTATTGTTATTTTCTCACCACACACTCTGTCATTTAGAAAGACGACTTCATAATGCACAAATAATAAATAAAATATTGAGAAATTTATACCAATACCAATTGAACAGCCATTGTTTGTATATAAAAATAATTATAAAAAAAGGCTTTTTTTTTTCAATTTTCAAGGAAAACTGACATGTGAGAGAAATAAGAAGGGTGCATTTTTGCTCACCAGTTTAACCATAGGTGTACCCTCACCACCATCCTCAGTGCTTGACACGTGTCCATAGACATAACCATAGTTCCATAAATACAAAGCAAAAGTTAACTATGGTTATATCTATGGACACGTATCAAGCATTGAGGATGGTGGTGAGAGTACACCTATGATTAAAGTGGTGAGCAAAAATGCTCCCAAATAAGAAAGGCATTGGCAATACGGAAAATTCTTCAGTGCGTGCGTGCACTGAGTGCAAAGGCATGGATAACCTTTGGATTGAACTTAAATGGATTCAATGATTGGGATTTGCTGACCTGATGACCTGGTAAGCATTAGAATATAGGATAAAAAATTAAGAAGTGGTAAGTTATTCCTTCAAAGATACAAACTGTGAGTGAGGAGTGGTAACTTGTGAGTAATGAAGTGGTAAGTATACAGTGGCGGTGCTTCAGGGTGGTTCCCGAAGACGGAAAAATTCTCAAAATTACGTGCAATACCTATACCAATATGTTCAGATCAAGGTATTAAATATCGATAATATCTGATTTTTGGGGGTCCGATATTTTAACAATTAACCATAGTGTTATCGTCAATATATCGATATTGTCCCGATATTATCCCGATAATATCGAAAAGATATTTTCAACATTTTTATGAATGATTTGGGCAATATATCGAGATATTATCGATAATATCCCGATAATATCCTGATAATATCCTGATACGAAACCCAAAAATATTTATATACATGGTATTTGTGAAAACTATTTTAGTCCTTCAACACCTTAACCACCATATCACTTATGTTTTTGTGAAAATACTAAAATATTTATATATATACATGATTTTGTTTT